TAAAATTTTGTTCGCCGCTTCTTACCCTCATCACTCCAGACCCTATCACTCTCCCCCCCTCCCCCACCCTCACAAAACTAAAGACACGATTTGAATAGGCGAAAAGCAACATATTCGTATCTTGGAGGCAAGATTTCAAAATATTTCCAGTGGCAGTTGATTTCTCACTTCAAACTACTACCACCTCACTCTATGCCATATTCGACTATTTTCACAGTATTCACCTCACCTTTGTTCTACCTTTGTGTTTGTCTCTTACATCTTTGTAACACTCTTCTGTTCCCCCCCCCCCTCTCGACTTTTTCAATTTGATGTTCCTTCCCCTCTGTGAAGTCTGAAGTCAGCTAAAGGGCTAATGATAACCATCAAGACGCCTGCCATTTGATATAAATAAATGAATTTCAATACCAATGTTCTCAAAACAAAAGAGATTCCTTTGAACTCTCCGAATGTAGTGGCGATCTCATGCGCTCTAAATCATCCATTTTGAGTAAACCTGTTAGTTACCCCACGCGTCGTATTCCGAAATGCTTAATTAGTAAGTAGCTTAGATGGGGAAGGTATAGAAATGCCTCACTATTCTTTTCAATATGTTTGTTTTTCGGCAGTCATTCGTAGAGTTTAAAGGAGCCTTATGATTTTGTAAAAAGCCAGTAGTTGAGCCAACAATGAGTTATTTAGAATAATCTACAACTTTTGATTTTTTGAAATTTTCCTCTTGTTTTTTTTATTCAACGTGGAAATGAAATAGAATCTGGGTGAATATCATTGAACATAGGCGGGGGTGGGGGAGGCTTGAAATAGACGAAAGCGCAGTCCTTTGCCTATTGAAAAGCCTTCCAAGTGCCGTGGCAATAAGATCACGTAATGCGAAGCATAAAAGATGTGTTTTCACGGTCTTATTAACTCACGCATAGCCACTCCCTCAAATAAGTACGACTGTCGCATTACTCACCCGGGCGTCTCACATGCACCCCATTGATCATTGTCGGTTAATAACTAGTTCTCCTGCATGTGGGTTGGGTTTTGGTAATTGCCATGGCAATGTGAGAACCACGACTTCTGACATCACTTGAAGTAGAGTCACTTCTATCCTGCCTTAAGCGAGTTGGTAGCAGCGAGTAGCGTTGATAAGGTGGGAATGGAGAGGCTCCAACCGAAGAGGTGGTGCATGCTCGAGTGAGAGAGAGAGAGAGAGAATTGTTAAATAGGCATATGCAATTGCTAATGACTGCTAGCAAGTGACAAGTGCAGTGAATGCGCAAAACTTGATAGAAAGGAGAACACATGAGGTTACTAGACAGCATAATTGCGTTAGATAAGTGGAAGCCATGGTTAAGGGGAGGAGAGGGGGGTAGCAGCTCTCTCCGATATGTGTGTGAGCATATCCTCTTCTTCGTGTTCGGTGATTTGTCCAAGGTATTCTAGCAGTTCAATATTATTAGTATTATTATAATTATTAGCCTGGGGTGTGCGATAGACTTACCTCCACGTGGTGCACTCTGGACAACGTATACTCATACGGCAAAAAAGTCTATTAACTGGCATTTGACTTCTGACTTCAAACTACCACCACCCCCCTGGTTGTCATATTCGACCCCTTCCACAGTACTCACGTCACCTTTTTCTCTACCTTTGTGTCTGTCTGCCTCTTTTACATCTGTGAATCGCTCTTCTGTTCCCCACCCCTCGACTTTCTTCTACTTTGATGAACCGTCCCTCTGTGAAGCCCCAAGTCAACTAAATGGCTAATGATATCTATCAAAACGCCTGCCATTTGAAATAAATAAATAATTATTAGCCAGGATCGTTCGAACTTACTTTTAAAAGTATTATGCCTATAATTGCGGCTGAATTAGGGGCTCGGTGAGAGCGTCAAGAGTTGAATTGTCCCTGTAATTCAAATTTGATTATCTCAATATACAAGTGTCCAAGATATTCAGATCTTTTTTGGAGGTACGCTTTGGTTTATTGATTGATCATGCCATTTTGGTGATGATAAAAAATAGAACATCTTACATCACCTCAATTTTTGAAGTAGTTGTCTTTCGAAAGAGTCAACGAAGAAAGTCGATAGGACTTTAAGCGATAAAATCCACTTGTGAACACGAGCACATTTCGTGTAGTGGTCGCAGCTCATCTCTGGTGATAGTTAGGGATGTCATTAACTTTCCTCCTTTATTTTAACATTTCTTGAGACGGAAGAAGAACTCCTTTTGCAAATTTTCAACTTTCTTTCTTAAATCACACCGACTTGAACCTCAGAACGAAGAAGAAGAGGAAGAAGAAGAAGAAGAAGAGATAGGACTTTTGCTCTACCGATGATTTGTCTTTAAAATGAATACATTTAGGTCGGCTTTTTGGGGAAAATTTTTGCGGAAGTGATTTCCACCCGGTTTTAACATCGATTTTGCGATTTTGCGTAACACGATCAATGTTTTTATTTTTAGAAAATTTGATAATGCTTCATTTCAGTATTTAAAGACAAGGCCCCTTTCTTGTCATTCAAAACTGAGGAAAATATTTTGGAAATGGGGGGTGGGGGTGGGGGGGGGGGTTCACATTGACTATGGAAACTCACCACCATGAATTATTATGAACACCTTTTAAACAATGAGATTTTGTTCTTTATTATTTAGCTCAATTGTGCCATTTAGGCCTAAATTTTTTAGAAGAAGATCTTTCATGGAATTCAAATTTAAATGAAATATAACGTACGAATTTTCTCTTGTTTAATCGAATTTATTCCAATATTTTTGAAGTAAATAAATCATGATTTTTAAACCTCTAAATGAAATCAAAGTTTAGTGAAATGTATTTCTACCTTCAAAATCTTGGTAGTGAAGATCTTCTTTGTCGAAAGCTTATTTTACTTTTTCTTTACTGTAGGAATCGACACTCATGAAGAGAGTTCTAAGAGCGAAAGTCCTGTTCAAGGTGCCTATATGAGCAAAAAGGTACCTAACATAATTACTGTTATCTTATAAGTAGAAATATTTGTCCTGTTTTGACAATGTCTTGTGATTTTTTAGAGCCAATTTAATCCAACTCGTCAAATTAAGAAGAAAAGCTTGAAGCAATCGCACAAGGAGATTTCCAGCTCCAAAGAATGGTTAGTCTGGAGAGTAATTCAATTACTAAAATCTGATTTTATTGCATTTCTCTATATCTAAGCATCGTCATTGAATGATCTATTCATTTTTATATCACTGGCATTTTGAATTAATCACAATCAAACATTCTGTCTCTATAACAATATTTTCAACAGTAAAATACACTTATTTGAATTAATTTTTTCATTTAATTGAATAGACTGATAAATATTATATGCAAAAGTGTTTTTGGCTTTCTTACAATTATAATTATTTAATTAATTATGCATTTCATTCACTTGAGATGCACCAGTGAGATCGGAAACTATGATCCCATAGCTACGTTGATTTGAAATGAACAGTTGACTTTTGAACCCCGGCAAATGAGACCTGTTAGATGCACATAGTTTTAATGTTAGTGAATTTACGCGAACGTGCTGACTTCTTATTTAATTGAATTTAGTGTACTTCCGACATGTAGTCATTTATTTTTTAAACTTAAAGTCATATATTAGTTTAATTAAAACGTTCAACTCGTCCGGTTTGACATTCACAGCAATCAAAATTTTCCATTTAATGACTTATCTCCGTGAATTTAGATTAATTTTCAGCTATTTTATTTGTATGGAAACATTTTATCTTCAGTTTATTGAAGTGTTCAATAGATTTTAGACCTTGAGAGTATTTACTATGTAGGGTATATAAATACTTATAAGGTATATTAAAATACGAATTTCTATTAGCTTCCATAATTCTTATTCATTAAATCCCTTCAATTTTGGAATTTAATGAGGTATTTTTAAAGTTTGTTGACGGTACATCTATCAGTCTTCGTGGCAAGTAAAGTCGAATCTACTAATGTTACTAATAGTTTAAGAGTAGGTAGAATTTAACTTACTTGGTGCTTGACCGCAAATCGAGATGGGCAATCGGTCTTCCTACTTGGCTAATTTGTAGACATGCTGTTCAGCCAAAACACGCGTCTGAAAACTTCACTAATAGTAGCCATTTATCGCAGTTTACATTCCTAATAACTGTAAGAATGAAGTCGTATAACTTTGATTAGGTTTATACCTAATTTGTAATATGTTCGTTACGCACGAACTTGTATGGAGTCAAATGATTGCTTGGAAAAACAAGCAAGTTACCGTATCGTTAGAGAGCTTATTTGTCGCCTCGAATGACACGAATTCTGGACTCGATGTTGGTGATTATAAAACTATTGAGAGATCAATCAATTTCTGAAGCTGCAAAGGTTTGCATTTCGCTTCAGAAATTTACTACTAAATGTTAGACCTTCTTTTTCTATGTTATTAATAGTTCCTCAATTTAATGATTTTATTCTTCTAAAGCCAATAATCAAAGTGAACAACATTCAAAATGTGTGTGTGCGGATTCATAGGACAAGGTTTATGGAATTTGGAATTTACTTTTACTAAAGTGCTTTAGCATTTCAACATAATTAGTTACTTTGATTTCGAAAAGAAATAACATTTTTTTGCCTTTTAACATTAATGTTGAGTTACTTCTTCTTTTGCTAGCTGTCAAAGTTGTGTTTATTACGATTTGCCGCAAATTTCATTTCTCGCATAAATATTAGTTTACTATTTTGAATAAGACAGGCTTGTGGTGAATTTTTTCTTTACGGGCTGGTCATTCTCTTTCTGAGCTTCTTTAAAGGCATTATTTATTCATCGCATGCATTTTACATTTGAATAGGTCAAAATCTACAGCTTGTTTGACCCAAGAGGCTCGATCTGATCCAATGTACTCTCAAGGCGTATACGCCAGTCATCCAAATGAGTTAGACATCATTTTCAACGAAAAATCAAAGTTCAGTCGTCGTTTCAGCAAACAGGGAAAGACTGGTGATGCTGCTGGAACTGTCAAGCGTAGCTTCTCCCTTTCGCGTTTCTTCCGTCGATGCTCCAAATCACGTGATCTTCTGGATGAACACACCGAAGATGTTAATGCCTATCTACCTGAACCCCCCAATTTGGGTCGTATATACCTCACTTCATCCATCAATTTTGACAGCGGATCGTGGAACTCACTCTTAGAAGATCAACCCCGTCAGTTGACTGGACTTCACCCACCTCCAAAACAATCATCAAACAGAAGTCTCGCTTCTAAAGCAGAGCAGGCTCTAAACACTGACACTTTGAGACCCAAATCAGAGCAAGTTAATAATGAGTAAGGGCTATGAGTCTTGGTCCGATTTCACCCAGATATTCGATATTGATAATAATCTTTGATGATTTCTTTGTAGGTGTTAGTTTTGATTTATTCCATGCATGCTGATTTAAGGTAAAAGTGTTGAAGCCTCAAATGAATCTTTATTTAGTTGAAGTCATGGTTGTGGTTTGCTTTCTTTCTGAAAGAAGTCCTATGTTCAAAGATATCTGCAATAAAAATATAATTTTGTGATTTCATCTTAATGCTACTTACTGTTTATATTCATTTTTGATGTTCACATTTCTTGCAGTAAAGGCTCCAACCGCCCCCCCCCTCCCCCTCCCCCTCCCAACCAAATCCAATAACTCAAGCTGTGAAAGCTTAGAAAGGGAGAACATGAAGCCCGGGGTAAGAAGGGGCTGCTGAAGGCAGTTTAGTGATGTGAATCAATCATCTAGATATGGAGTTACCCCTACCCTCGTGTCATCAAATCAAAATCGAGTGGGCAATGAGTCCGTCTGGCAGAATAAGTGCCTGTTTTGTCCAATACGGCGAAGCGACAATCATTAGAGTTTTAAAGTACACTTTTTAGACTATTTCAAAGTATGTGAAGTGGAAAACAGCTCATTGGTGATGAACTGTTGACCTCTCATGTGAGTAAGCCTGCCTCCATAATTGTTAGATCGTATTCACTTTGATCATAAATTCTACCAAGAAAAATTGTTCCATTCTCGATGGACTACAAATTAATGTTAATTTTAATGAACTGGAAATCCACAAAGCGCTGGAACGTGCAAGCTCCTTTAGTAATTCTAATCTGTATGTTTTTGTCAACCCATTGATTGTAAATCAAGCACGAAATTTATTTCAGATCATATTCCATAAGTTTGTTTGTGTGTGCGTGTGTGTGGAGTTACTTTGGAATGGCAAAAATCCCTGGGAATTTCTTTTGCCGAAAAATCATTTCCTTTGTGAGTTTGGCAACTGGCAGATGCAAATATTTCACTACTGTGAATTAAACTAATTCATTAAGGTAATCAATATCTCCAATAAATAAGGTACCCTTTAACTTTTCCATTTCAAAATAACTCACAGTTGGTTAGTGAAGAAGTTCCATTAACATTGGGCGAGGTGCAGCTTTCATTCAGTTTAATCAGAAAATTGTTTACTCCTACCTTAATCACCTTCAAGGACTTTATTGCTGAAATATGCGATAATTTTGGGGTTTTAATTAGACTTGCGTCATCGGACCGTGCATTTCGGAAATTCCCAACAAAGATGAGGACTTAGAAGCCTTTGTCAGTGTTGTCAAGTGGTTGAGCATTAATTGAGTTTACTCCTTGTTTTTGTACTAATTTGTACTTAAAGGACGTGTAAACAACGAATATCACCCTTTCTTGCTCAAAATCATTTTCCTGCCGTAAACAACGGAAGTCTGATCGATTTCACACCCCCCCCCCCC